AAACTGTAGTAATACGACCCTATCATTAATCCCGTTCGATAGATTTTAAAGAATTAGTAAACACTAGCATCTAATAGTTAAGTGCATCCATATTTTAAGTCCCTAGAATGTCCTGAATTAAATAGCTTCACGTCTAAACACACCCTGTGTACAAGCGTAGTTCACACACTAGAAACCGTGGACTAGTAGAGTTCAAATTTACATTAATAACGTGTACTAATTAAACCAAACTGACATTCAAACTTAAAATTAATTTATTAAAATGGAAATGAAACTTTAAAAATGATACTTACAACTTGTTTGAAGGCTCTAGCAAGGGTAAAATCCGTTTAGCATCATCGGTCGTCAACCTTTAAAACGGTTCGGCGAGCAACTCACTCGGGGCTGAAAGTCGACTCGAGGGTTATATGTTTATTGAGGGTACGGCTTCGCGACCGTAAATCAGAAATACTTGAATTTACAACACAAAGTAGTTATAAAATTGAACTTTACATCGGTGTAAAAATTGAAACAGAATTAGTTTGTTTCCGTGTATATATCGTCATTTAAAGTTTAAAATCTGTATTTTTTAAATGAAATAAACTAGTTATTTTTTCAATTTATACATCAAACGATAGCCTAGAATTCGATCTTTAAAATGACATTAAGATTATGCTTCTACGATGCTTCGTCGCGAAGCCGCGACCAAATAAAACAGTGTGGGGTCGATCGGTACTCGAAAAACGGTGAAATTTGTTGACGTACTGATACTTTTCAAACAAATATAAAACACATTCAAACATGTGTTACAGGTATAAAAATACCAGATTACGACAGATAAAGACTTAAACTTTATTGACATATAATTTTTATTCTTATAGGACAACTAGAAGTAGTGAAATTTTTTTTTTTGAAAACCGCAAAAACTGACCCTAAAACGCACTTTTTCGCCAGTTTGGACTACCTACTTTTACACAACTGAAGGAATGTAGATGAAGTAAAATGTTTCATTTTAAGATTTTTAAGAGTTTAAGTCTGAATAATGTATAAAAAATGATGACTGAATAACTCAATGATAACGAAAAAAAAAAGCGCCCATTATTTGTTATAGCTGATTGATACTAGATCATCGTTTAGCAGTGTCTGCAATAAAGAAATATTTGAAATAATAAGTAGAAAATTACAGCTTTAACAACATGGCGGTGACTGATTTGAGATGCGGGGACAGCAAGGTAGCATCACTTGGTCACGTGGGGCAGGAAGCAACAGGTTGGTGGCACTTGGCCTAATGGTGAAGGAAGCAACAGGTTGGTGTCACTTGGTCTAATGGTGAAGGAAGCAACAGGTTGGTGTCACTTGGCCTAATGGTGAAGGAAGCAACAGGTTGGTGTCACTTGGCCTAATGGTGAAGGAAGCAACTGCATCTCTGGCAAAAGGAGACATCCTAGCATCACAGACAAACATTGCTGGCACTGTTCATGGTGGTGCCATTTTCAAAAGGGGAGGGGCAAATTATTTTTAATTTTGGGACTAACCGGGTATCATAGCCAATGGGATATCCTGGTACCAAAGCAAATGGGCCATCTTGGTATCACAGCCAATGGGCCATCCTGGTATCACAGCCAATGGGCCATCGTGGTATCACAGACAATGGGCCATCCTGGTATCACGGCCATCCTGGTGTCACAGCCAATGGGCCATCATGGTATCACAGCCATCCTGGTATCACAGCCAATGGGCCATCCTGGTATCACAGCCAATGGGCCATCCTGGTATCACAGCCAATGGGCCATCCTGGTATCACAGCCAATGGGCCATCCTGGTATCACGGCCATCCTGGTATCACGGCCAATGGGCATCCTGGTATCACAGCCAATGGGCCATCCTGGTATCACGGCCATCCTGGTATCACAGCCAATGGGCCATCCTGGTATAGCAGCCAGCTATGACCGTCACTACCCATGGTGGTGCCAAATGTGACAGGTTTGGGATGGGGCAGAATGGTTTACAGGAGCTATCCTGGCATCACAGATAGACTCACCATGACCATCACTACCGGTGGGGTGGGGCAATTTCAGAAGGGGATAGGGGAGGGGAAGTGGGGGTAAACTGTTTATTCTGGCGACATGGTCCATCCTGGCATCCCAGATGACCGTCGCTACCCCGTGGTGGTGCCATTATTTGTCTGCTCGACTTCCGGTCGTGTTCTCATACTGGGGGTGGGGTGGGGTGGGGGGGGGGGGGGTGAGCAAACAGAAGCCCGTGTGCAGTGGGCCACTATAGTGGTCATGGTTATGGGCCAGTGGAATATGTGGACAGTGGGTTAGTAGAGTTAGTCATAGCTATAGGTCAATTAAACCAATGCACTATAGTGGTCATGGTTATGGGCCAGTGGAATATGTGGAGAGTGAGCTAATAGAGTTAGCCATAGCAATATGTCATTTAAACCAGTGAAAAGATTGCTGTGTTGGTAAAAGCGATAGGACATCTGTCAGCTGCCCATGTTCATGGTTTTATAAGTTGTATTTTGTTTTTATAAAATATGTGTGTAGTATCTGCATAATGTGCAAGATCTTTTTTTAATTTGCAGTTCTTTCTCTTTTCTTTTCTAACTGTGATTGTTCCATGTTTATAGGCCCTGGTAATAATAGATACTAGCTTTGTTAGACGCGAGATATATTCATTAGGGGGTCAAATTATCCTTTAAAATTTTTATTATAAAACAACAAACTTACATCTGTTGGTATGTATAGAACTAAGGGGCCATCACCCACAAACGACTTTATGCTATTTTTAACGATTTAAAAAAAAATCCGTTATGTCAGCAAATGTCTATTAGGTCACGGAGTATTGAATAACAACGGTAAACAAAACGATGGACTGGATTAAATTTCCAGTAATAGTTTTTTTTTTCATAAGAAAGTCAAATTACCCACGCCATTGGGTTGTGAGGTCGTTTATAGACAACCACTAGGAATAATCCATACTAGTGCCAAATATAACCCAAATATCGTGCACGCAGGTGCAATGACTTGTATTGCACAAGGTCGATTACAAGGTGTATTACAAGTGCAATGAATTCTGGTGCACGTAAGGTATATTACACGGTGGATTACCAGGTAGATTACAAGGTGGATTACAAGGTGGATTACAAGGTGAATTACAAGGTGGGTTACAAGGTGGATTACAAGGTGGATTACCAGGTAGATTACAAGGTGGATTACAAGGTGGATTACAAGGTGGATTACAAGGTGGATTACCAGGTAGATTACAAGACGGATTACAAGGTGGATTACAAGGTGGATTACCAGGTAGATTACAAGGTGGATTACAAGGTGGATTACAAGATGGAATCCAAGGTGGATTACCAGGCAGATTACAAGGTCGATTACAAGGTGATTTACAAGATGGATTACAATGTGGATTACAAGGTGGATTACCAGGTAGATTACAAGGTGGATTACAAGATGGATTATAAGGTGGATTACAGGGTGGATTACCAGGTAGATTACATAGTGGATTACAACGTGTATTACAACTTGGATTACAAGGCGGATTACCCAGAAGAGCCCAGTAAATTAACAACAAAAACATCGCCAACTGAAACCTGACATCGCCGAATGACGTCAGCAATGCGAAAATTGTTTGTGTACTGGTTTAAGTAGTAGCGTCCCTTTGTACTAGTTTAAGTAGTAACGTCCCTTCGTACTAGTTTAGTAACGTCCCTTTGTACTACTTTAAGTAGTAGCGTCCCTTCGTACTAGTTTAAGTAGTAACGTCCCTTTGTACTAGTTTAATTAAGTAGTAACGTCCCTTCGTACTAGTTTAAGTAGTAGCGTCCCTTCTTGCTAGTTTGAGCAGTAACGTCCCTTGATTTCAAGTTGTCTTTCACAACACATAGTAACCGTCAAACTATATAAACGTCATATAGTCGCAGATAATAGTGAAATATTAACGGTGATGTATTACAACTCCACTAGATAAAAAGTAGAATATTGCTTTAAAATTAACAACTAAGGTGGGAGGGGAGTTTGTAGGTGGGTGGGGAATGTTAGGGAGTGGGTGGTGTGTGTTTGTAGGTGAGTGAGTAGTGGGGAGGATGGGATGTGTTTGCAGGTGCAGGTAGGTGGGGGGGGGGGGGGAGTGTTTATGCATGGGAGGAAAGCACTAGAGCCGACATATTTAAGCCAAACCCATTAGTCTTGCTAACAATCATACAGATCTAGTATCGATTTAATATGATAAATTACATCAATTCCTGCTAGAATGATGTCTTTTCAACGACTCACGCGCTTGTTTGTTTTTCTAGCATATTCCAATGTTAGGTAATCAAAAAATAAACATCGTTTGAAGGAAGCCTTTGTTCCATACGTTCAATGGCTTCACTGGCTAACGCATGGTCAGCTAACAAGCACGGGAGTTCCAGAGAGTAAAAAAATAAAACGTACTGGCTCCGGGGTAATGCGAGTACACGGTTCTAGTAAAACAAAGGCCGGCTGTATTCCATTCAGTATGGTTATGGGATCTAGTTCTCTGTGGGTAAAGTTGTTATGATGATAAGAATTAGAGAGCAAAGGTTATTGATTTTACATATGGTAAGGTTCAAGGTTAAAGTAATTGCAAGGTTTATGGTAATGTTTAGGGTCATGTAAAAATGCTATTTTAAAAAATATAGTTTCGATTCGCACTAAATTCATCGAAATATTGAGTTAAACAATTGACAATCCTACGGAGCGTCAAGCAATATTTTGTTAACGGTGTGTTTCATTATCCCATACGGTTTTATGTTACGTTGAATAAATAATGACTTCCTTACAACACCTTACAACACCTGCAACCCCAACGCACCAAATGACCTCGCCTGTGAGTGTTTCAGGCATTTAAAAATACATATAATGACCCTAATTAAACTCCCCACGTTTTTCTTTCATCTGCTATTAATGATGTATTCACAGCTCTGACCAGCCGAATGATTATGACGTCAAATGATTAACCTGCACGTTTTTTTCCTCTGTTCACAGTCCCCGCGGCGGAAGTGGCCGGGATCATATCAGGGGGAATAACTGTGGTTGTGTTCGCAGCCGTGGTGGGCGTCCTTTGCTGGAGATTCCCTTCGTGCAGATCCAGGACATTTTGGGATAAAAATATCAAACGCGCGATACGGAAGCTCTACGGTAATGTCCCCCTTATCTTTCACACTTCTAAGCTTTCATCTTAAAAATAAAAAAAAATACGATGACGTGTCTTTCATTCATGTAAAAAAACCAGCTGAATCACCAATCAACTCCTGAGTTTAAAACTTAAAAGAAGTTTCATTGCTTATGGAACGCAAACATGCAAACTCTAAGCAACAGAATTTTCAGGCAGATTTTAAAATACTATAGAGTAGAAAAAAAAAGGTAATTTTTAGCCAAAGGAGCAAAGGAAGAACGATAACTGTAACTAACATTTGACTTGTAGGTTGAGTTTGAAACTCTAACAGATGAAAAGGTAGAAGGAGCTGAAATTTCAGAACTTGTCCGGATTAGTCCGCCACTAATTCAAGAAAGTTTACGGGCGAAAAGTTAAGCTCCACCAATTGTGACCTTTTTTTTATGTCTAGACACTTGAATATTTAAAAGCATGCCATAAAACATATTCTTCTTGACCTCTAAAGTTTGGTTTGGGGTTAGGGTTGGTGTTGGGATTGATGTTGGGGTTGGCGTGTCTGGACAAGTTCCGAAGTTTCTAGAATAATATAGTGGATAAAGGCAGTGTTATGGAACTAAACGTGCTTAACTAGAATAGAATGGGGCTCTAGACAAATATTAAGAACTCGAGTTCTATTAAGCTAAAAATGCTTCTTGTGACTCTAAAGCAAAATATAGAAAATAAATCATGGTAGTTTTAAGTTTTATATAGATGTAATAAAGATGCTGTGATTTAAAAAAAAAAGTTTTAATGTTAGATCACCATTATTGTAAATTAATAGACATTCAGCCAGTTTTTTTTTTATCAACTTGCGCACATGTGGCTATATGTGCACATGTGGTTATATGCGCCCATGTGGCTGTATGTGCACATGTGGTTATTCACGAATTCGGCTCTTTAAGATTAATTCTTCTTAAATCAGATTATGATTTCTATATGAAGTTTTCTTAATTTCTTTTTTTTCCATACATGTAACAGGTAGAGCCGAGAAACAATGTAGTTTAGTAACAAAACCAACGATTTATTTAAGTTTACTCTAAGCATTATCACAAAGTAACCTATTGGAAATCATTAAACTAAAAGGCTTGTATTGGTATTGATGCAGTGATCTAGTAAACAAACAGTAAATCGTACAACGACCTAGTTGAGTCTATACACCAGCTTCAAACAACTCACCCATCATGAGACGCCATATCTGATCGATTTTAGTAACATGCTATTGTGATCGAATTATTTTAAAATATGATTCGATCCTATCATCAAACTTATTGATTAAAAAAAAATTCTATTCATATTTGTGTGACAATATTTGACAAAAAAATCACAGTCTTACTGCTTGTCACGCATGCGCATTGACGGACGATTTACCGAGAATTTAGTTCAGGACCGGATGACGTGACCTTTGACATTTTGAAGTTATCGATTCGGTTTTAAATTATCAACACCTTATGTCGTTAATTGCTTGTTTATTTCGACAAGCACACATATTTAGCTTTTTATAGGAATAATGATAAACGATATTCAAAAAATCCATAACTGTGACTTTGATTTATATAGTTTTGTTCTGAAAAAAGCTCCACCCCCCCCCCCCTATGTGATGACATTAAAAAAAACCCACACCCAGACCAGAGTTTCTACCCCCCCCCCTGATCGAAATAGAATTAATATAGAAAACATACTTTTCCCATTGTCCACCCCACCTCGGAAAATGTCCCCCCCCCCGAAAATTTCAATTGCCCCCCCCCCCCCCCCTCACCCTTTCCCCTGGAGAAAAACGTCTTGAAGAAACGCTGCCCCAGACTGACACATTTAGCCTTGTTTTGTTACGGTCTGCTGGTCAGAGTTCTTGTTTGAAAAAAAGGGGGAGGGGGGGGGGTCTGGGAGGCAGGGGGGTGGGGGTATTCATGTCAAGGTAATCATATTTCTTCACTGTAGACAAGGACTCACCCACGTAAAGTGAACGTGAAAAACAACAGCATTGACAAAATAATATCGTCAGACAAGGCATTAAGTATTTAACGTCACATATATTGTTCTGGTTTTATCGATAACGGCATGGGTCACGGAACGAGTTAGTTTTTTCTTTTTAAATTTGATTGGGATTGCTGATGACATCCCATGACTCCACACTTCCCTCCCTTTGTTTTCCCACTTCCCTCCCTTTCTTTCCCCCACTTCCCTCCCTTTGTTTTCCCACTTCCCTCCCTTTGTTTTCCCACTTCCCTCTCTTTGTTTTCCCCACTTCCCTCTCTTTGTTTTCCCACTTCCCTCTCTTTGTTTTCCCACTTCCCTCTCTTTGTTTTCCCCACTTCCCTCTCTTTGTTTTCCCACTTCCCTCACTTTGTTTTCCCCACTTCCCTCTCTTTGTTTTCCCCACTTCCCTCTCTTTGTTTTCCCCACTTCCCTCACTTTGTTTTCCCCACTTCCCTCCCTTTGATATCCCCACTTCCCTTCCGTTGATTTCCCACTTCCCTCCCTTTGTTTTCCCACTTCTCTCCCTTTGTTTTCCCACTTCCCTCCCATTGTTTATTCTTAAAGTAAGCACTTAGCGCTTACACTGTAAGTCTACACAACTTTAATGACTTTAACTAGACATCGAGAAGTCCAGACTGGCTAACAAATCTGTTGCTAGAAATTTAAATGTATCACATAATTCATAAACGTCACACAACTAGCACATAGACCTACACAGACGTCATTAGCAAATACATGAAGACATAAACTGACGTCATACAACTATCATAGACGTCATACAATTTACAATTATATATAAATCTAGAAATTCATAGACCTCATATACTAGCATATATATGTAGGCATACACATACGTCATACATCTATCAAATAAATGTACACATACATAGACGTCATACAACTATCATGAAAATGTTATTTATTCATATACGTCATACAATTTACAATTATTATATAAATCTAGACATTCGTAGACGTCATAGAACTAGCATATATGTGTAGACATACACAGACATACTAATACAATAAAATGCCATTTATGGACGTCATAATATGTTAATACCCATATATGTCATACAACTATCATATAGAGCTAAACACACGTAGTCATACAACTGTTAAATAAATGTAGATACCCATGAACGTCGTACACCTATCGTATGCAAGTAAACATAAGGTCGTCATACCAGGTGACAGCATTAAACAGCTCACTACAATACGGCACTAAATGTCAAGTCGGGACAAATGTCAAGATGTCGTGTGGCTAAACTGACAATTAGCTGACACAATCAATCTAATCGAATTAGAAATTCCCTCCGGCTTCGCTTAATGTGCTCGCGTGCGAGTGTGCACATTTTTTCGTAGCATACAATCTCAGATTGTCTTTATAATAACTCGACTAGATTGTATGTTCATGTACACTTTTGTATCTTACAATCACAGATTGTCTTTATAATAACTCGACTAGATTGTGTGTTCATGTACACTTTTGTATCTTACAATCACAGATTGTCTTTATAATTACTCGCTAGATTGTGTGTTTATGTACACTTTCGTATCCTACAATCATATATTGTCTTTATAATAACTCGGCTAGATTGTGTGTTCATGTAAACTTTCATGTTCAACAATCATAGATTGGCTTTATAATAATTCGACTAGATTGTATATTCATGTAGACTTTCGTATTACAAAATCACAGATTGTCTTTTTAATAACTCGACTAGATTGTGTGTTCATGTAAACTTTCGTGTTCTACAATCAAAGCTTGACTCTATACAAACTCGATTAGATTGTGTGTTCATGTACACTTTTGTATCCTACAATCGTATATTGGCTTCATGCTAAACTCGACTAGATAGTGTGTTCATGTACACTTTCGTGTCGACTTGGGTTGGTCTTGTGTTACATGTAGGCTAAACACTGGCGGGTTGTTTTGTTTATTTATTTGTTGATTGGTTTAGTTCGGCTTGGTTTTAATGGAGAAATAAAATAGATTACATTGCTGTCTCCTTAGGCAGTTGCTGTAAATAATGTCATGTGTTGGGGAGAGGGAGGGGGGGGGGGGTAAAACATCAATAGCAGAGGGGGGGGATACCGTCATCAAAGTAGTAGAAGGAGGAGGGTGGGGGGAGACACCGGCATAAGAGTATCTGTGTGTACGTGAAATGATTTCGCAATACATTTTTTTTTGTCGAGATTAACGTAAGCCAGCACAGGTTATCAGTTACCCAAACTCGTGGCTGGTGGATAAACCGTAAGCTCTCGGGTACCCAAACCCATGGCTGGTGGATTAACCTTAAGCTGACTGCAGTGCTTTTGTTACTAAATCAGTCAATGGGCGTGATCAAAAGATATCGGCTATCAAAATGTTGGGCAATACCCTTTAGCTGATGAACTCGAATGTGCGAGAAATGTATTAAAATAACCGACCTTATCTTAGAGTTCACAATACAAATTACTTCATCAAAGTCTTATCAGTGGCGCTTTCAAGATCGACACCCTTATCAAAGTTCTTAAGAGTAACACACATACAAGAATAACTTTGTTAAACAGTCGACACTCTGACATACACAGATACATTCAAATGCTTTACTCAACATCCACGACCTTGAAACCAACACAAATCACCACCTTACCCAACATGTATGGACCTTGACACCAGCAAAACCCAGACATCCACAACCTTGGGACCAACAAAACCTACCACTTTAACCTAACTTGTATGACCTTGACACCATTAAAACCCACTATTTACCCAACAAACCATGACCTTGACACCATTAAAACCCTCCCACTTTAACCAACAACCCCCCCCCCCCCCCCCCCCCCCACAGCTCACCACTGACCAGCACGATAAGACCCTCTAACCAAAAAGACCTCGCCAATTCTCCGAGGACCGCATTAAAATTTAAAGAAAGAGCTTGTCTCTTTAGCCAAAAGATTAAATCAATTGGTGCGGGTGAGCTAGCATTCGAGTACATGTACTAGACTTTAAACAGTACAGTTAACGTTGTCGTGTGTACTATAGACTGGTTTCCTTGATAATTTAGTATAGGGGATAGTGGTTTTTCTTGATAATTTAGTATAGGGGGATATTGGTTTCTTTGATAATTTAGTATAGGGGTATAGTGGTTTCCCTTGATAATTTAGTATAGGGTATAGTGGTTTTCCTTGATAATTTAGTATAGGGGATCAGAGGCGTAGCGAGGGGGGGGGGGGGGCGGGGGTGGGACATATGTCCCCGGGCGCCGACCTTAGGGGGGCCGCCCAAATTGAAAGTTTGAGAGGGGGGGGTGCAAATGAAAAGTTCGAGGGGGGTGCAAATCGAAAGTTTGAGGGGGGTGCAAATGAAAAGTTCGAGGGGGGGGTGCAAATCGAAAGTTTGTCCCCGGCGCCGGGAAGGGTCGCTACGCCTCTGTAGGGGATAGTAGTTTTCTTTGATAATTTAGTATAGGGGATAGTGGTTTCCACACTAAGGCGGTGTTACATTAACCCACACTACACCTAAGTGGGTGACCACCACACCTTATCCCCACTGTGGGCGGTGTACATTAACCTCATTTTTACTCAGTCTGAGAATGAGCAGTGGAGCCCCGTAAAGATTTGCTCTGCTCCAGCGTTTTTATAATTAGTGACCTTGACCTCCGTGAACTCTTGTGTTATATGTAAAAAAAAAGCGAGAGAAAACACGGTTTTTGTAAAGGAAATTACAAAGTTAAAAACAACAGCATTAATTTACCTTAAATAAAACATGGGTCAGGAGTTGATGATTATACATGATGGAGAAGTAAATCTTGTAAATTTTTGCTGAAATTTTGGAAATGTAGAAAATATGAAAAGTGTAAATATTAAAGATATAGCTAGTATTGAAAATGTTGACACTATTGTAAATTTGATTATAAAATTGTATCGTCCTTTTTTCACACTGTCTAATGTTCACATGCAACCCACCTCAAGGTTGAACAAAAAAACCCGGTATCTCTCCTAGAATTTCAGGGACGTAAATCAACATTTAGAGTAAACGTGAACGTACACGACCTGGTCATTCTAACAAAAATGTTAACATTTTTTGATAAATTGCATTTTTTAAAATCAATCATAAACTAAAACAACATTTTTAAAACTTTTTTTTTTACAAATCCTGCTTATCTCTTTTTGTTTTAAAAGTAAAATACGATGAATTATGTTTTATAAAACTAGAAAGGGTAACAAATTAAATTGTAATGTTGCATGTGTAGCTCATAATGTGCACATTTAGATCTAGTAAATATCATCCAAAATATAAAAATAATTTCTATATCAATTACAGCTTTCTTTTAGGCCCAATTTCACTGCAATAATTAAAATAAAAGAAGTACTTCTATTTGTTTCCTTCTACACTAATAAAAATTATTTTATAATTTTTTATTTCCTTCAAGGCAAATGTTCACTACACTAATAAAAATAATTTAATAATATATATTGAATCCTTCCAGGCAAATGCAAGAAAAAGAAGGTCAAAGAGGAGAAGAAGAGCCTAATCATCGGGCCGATGATCAGGAAGAGGAGCCGCGACGAGCCACCGTTCGTCGTCCCGCAGATCTTCGTCCGACTACGGCAGCCGTAGGACGTCCAACGCTTCCCGCCTCGGATCACATGATGCTGGGGGCGCTTGCCCCTTGACCTTCGGAGGTCGTCGGGGGGCAAGTAGCGCCGGAAGTAGGAGGACGTCATTGGCGTCAGACTCGGACAGGTACGGTTGTTGGTGTTGTTGTTGTTGTTGTTGTTGTTGTAGTTGTTGTTGCTGTTGTTGCTGCTGCTGTTTTTGTTGTTTTTATCTCTAGTGTTGGAACTTCAGCAACCAAAAGGACATACAGAAACTCCTTCATCACTTTTTCCCCCTCTGGCGCAATGTGATGGTTTCACATACCGCATACCGTGTCCCTAATTCTAGACTTAAGTACACAGAGTTTCTTTCAGCCCCCCCCCCCCTCCCGAAGAAAGTCTACTATCCCCCTGAACGAAAATGTAATTTATATAGTAAATATATGCTTTTACCAGTGTCCTCCCCCCCCCCTACCCCGGAAAATTTAGACTGACCCCCCCCTCGCGAAAAATATCAAGTGTCTCCACCCCCCCCCCCCCGGAGAAAAAATGATTGAAAGAAACACTAGTAGTGCAGTAGTGTCACAGACTACGTGTGCACAAGTTGCCTCAACGTGTCCCTTATTCTTGACAGTAGTGCCCCCCCCCCCCCCAGACTAGATGTTCAAAAGGTGTTCACCTTGTCCCTAATTCTTGACAGTAGTGCCCCCCCCCCCAGACTAGATGTTCAAAAATGTTCACCTTGTCCCTTATTCTTGACAGTAGTGCCCCCCCCCCCAGACTAGATGTTCAAAAGGTGTTCACCTTGTCCCTAATTCTTGACAGTAGTGCCCCCCCCCCAGACTAGATGTTCAAAAGGTGTTCACCTTGTCCCTAATTCTTGACAGTAGTGCCCCCCCCCCAGACTAGATGTTCAAAAGGTGTTCACCTTGTCCCTTATTCTTGACAGTAGTGCCCCCCCCCAGACTAGATGTTCAAAAGGTGTTCACCTTGTCCCTAATTCTTGACAGTAGTGCCCCCCCCCCCCAGACTAGATGTTCAAAAGGTGTTCACCTTGTCCCTAATTCTTGACCCGAGACCCGGGCGCCTCCCCTGGGGATTGTTAAAGTCCCGAGTTTAAGTCTGTCTCTAAGCTGAGCGAACTAATTGATGAAATGAGCGGGTCTGAAGTCCTTCTTGGCTTTGTCTTTAGAAAAAATATAAGAAGAGTGCAGAGGCAGTACACGTAAGGGGATAATGAGATTAGAGGGGTTTGGGATTAGTGTTAGGGGTTTAGAGGGTTTGGTGATTTGAAGATTGATGGATTAAAGGGTTCGAGAATAAGCGAGTTTTAGGATTCAGGTTTAAAAATTAGCGGTTTCAGGGATAATCGGGTTTGGGGATTCGATGGTTTAGCAAATAAAGTTAAGGGGATTAGAGGGTTTGGGGATTACAGGGTTTGGGGATTTCATGGTTTGGTATTTAGAAGATTTAAAGATTAAAGGGTTGGGTAATTTACGGGTTAAAGGATTGCACGGTTAATAAATTACATGGGTTGGTGATTATTTTAGTATAGGTGTTATGATGTGTTATTGGGGTGTTGCAAGCAATCGATGTTTTAGAATCTGACCAAAATATTTTTCTGAGGACTACTTCGCTTGAGGATAATTTCTTCTTATAAACAAACCCTTCTGTGATTTAAGTCGATACAATTCTAATTGGTCGGCCAGTGAAAAGACGCCGTTTTGCCCAGTAAAATTTTGATTAATGGGCTGTGGAGAAAGACGTTTGTTCAGAAAAGCCAGGAAAAAAACATGGAGAATCCTGAATTAATAATACACGTCACTCAGCGCGCGTTGCCCAACTGCCATCGCCATAAATGGAGTTGTATTGCCGTGCTAACTCAATAAAAATATCTCCATTTTTATATTTGAAAGAAAATTTCTTTCCACGCTGTCAATATCAAACTTATTTAACTACAAATGCCACAAACGTTTTATTCATTAAGTTATAAACAATTTTTTTTCCATTTTCCACCATCTATCGAGAAAATTTCTAGACAGTTCGTCAAATCATTATTAAAACGAGAAAAATGGCCCGTTGAGGAAGGATACACCGGGCGCTAGGTTGATAGTGCTGTCTCTTTTCTCTAAACAAAAACCACCCCCCCCCACACACACCGCCCCCACCCCCACCCACACCCCCACCCACACCACCCCAACCCCCCACCCCCCCCCACACACCACCCCCCCACCCCCACCCCTACACACACCACCCCACACACACACCACCCCCCACCCCCCACCCCCCCCCCCCCAAAAAAAAACATGTCTACCGTCCCATTCAACGAAATATAATTATATACTTTTTCCAGTGTCCGCCCCCTCCCCGAAAATGCTACACCCGCCCCCGAAATTTTCAAGTACCCTCACCCCTCACCGGGGAGGAAAAAGTCTAAATTAAAACCACCCCCCAACTCACCCCCACCCCCCCCCCCCCACACACACACCACCACCCCCCCCCCCCCCCCCCCAAAAAAAAAGCATGTCTACCGTCCCATTCAACAAAATATAATTATATACTTTTTCCAGTGTCCGCCCCCTCCCCGAAAATTCTACCCCCGCCCCCGAAAATTTCAAGTACCCCCACCCCTCTCCGGGGAGGAAAAAGTCTAAATTAAAACCACCCCCCCACTCACCCCCCATCCCCCCCACACACCCCCCCCCCTCCCCCCACCCCCCACCCACAACCCCCCCCCCCCCTAAAAAAAACATGTCTACCGTCCCATTCAACGAAATATAATTATATACTTTTTCCAGTGTCCGCCCCTCCCCGAAAATTCTACCCCCGCCCCCGAAAATTTCAAGTACCCCCACCCCTCTCCGGGGAGGAAAAAGTCTAAATTAAAACCACCCCCCCACTCAACCCCCCCCCCCACCCCCACCCCCCTCAGACGTTCTTACGCGGGGGTGGGGCTTCGCCCCTACCCGAAGAATTGTATGCAAGAAACTCTTCACGCAAACCATTTAGATTAGACAACATTTCCTTTTTTTCAATGTTTCAATGACGTCATTACATTACTGTGTGCACTCTCTGGTTTGAGATTATGTTCTACTCTACGCTAAATGTGTCGACGTCATATTTCGTTTTTCGAATTACTGTGCAGGTTTTTAAATTCCTTGTGTTTTCTCTAGAGCGTTCTTGTCAGACAGATAGATAGAGAGACAGCGAAACTATTATTATAGACGAGAAAAATGGCCCGTTGAGGAAGGATACACCGGGCGCTAGGTTGATAGTGCTGTCTCTTTTCTCTAAACAAAAACCACCCCCCCACACACACCACCCCCACCCCCACCCACACCCCCACCCACACCACCCCAACCCCCCACCCCCCCCCCCCCACACACCACCCCCCCCACCCCCACCCCTACACACACCACCCCACACACACACCACCCCCCACCCCCACCCCCCCCCAAAAAAAACATGTCTACCGTCCCATTCAACGAAATATAATTATATACTTTTTCCAGTGTCCGCCCCCTCCCCGAAAATTCTACACCCGCCCCCGAAAATTTCAAGTACCCTCACCCCTCTCCGGGGAGGAAAAAGTCTAAATTAAAACCACCCCCCACTCACCCCCACCCCCCCCCCCCCCCCACACACACACCACCCCCCCCACCCCCACCCACCCCCCCCCCCCCCCAAAAAAAAAGCATGTCTACCGTCCCATTCAACAAAATATAATTATATACTTTTTCCAGTGTCCGCCCCCTCCCCGAAAATTCTACCCCCGCCCCCGAAAATTTCAAGTACCCCCACCCCTCTCCGGGGAGGAAAAAGTCTAAATTAAAACCACCCCCCCCCCACTCACCCCCCATCCCCCCCCACACACCCTCCCCCCCTCCCCCCACCCCCCACCCCCAACCCCCCCCCCTAAAAAAACATGTCTACCGTCCCATTCAACGAAATATAATTATATACTTTTTCCAGTGTCCGCCCCTCCCCGAAAATTCTACCCCCCGCCCCCGAAAATTTCAAGTACCCCCACCCCTCTCCGGGGAGGAAAAAGTCTAAATTAAAACCACCCCCCCCCCACTCAACCCCCCCCCCCCACCCCCACCCCCCTCAGATGTTCTTACGCGGGGGTGGGGCTTCGCCCCTACCCGAAGAATTGTATGCAAGAAACTCTTCACGCAAACCATTTAGATTAGACAACATTTCCTTTTTTTCAATGTTTCAATGACGTCATTACATTACTGTGTGCACTCTCTGGTTTGAGATTATGTTCTACTCTACGCTAAATGTGTCGACGTCATATTTCGTTTTTCGAATTACTGTGCAGGTTTTTAAATTCCTTGTGTTTTCTCTAGAGCGTTCTTGTCAGACAGATAGATAGATAGAGAGACAGCGAAACTATTATTATAGATGACTCCATCAACTTTAATGTTAAATATACCACGTATCCAAATCAGTGCACGAAAATTTAAATTTAATAATTAGGCATGCCAAATGTATCGATTATCCAAAATTTACTCTGCAAACTTATTCCATCCCTAAATGCATTAGTGTTTGACATCTTCTAATGTGTTTCTATTTTAGTCGGTCGCAGTTATGAGTTTATTCCAACTCCTCTATTATAAAACAAAACTCGTAGGCGGAAGGTTATGGGGTGTTTTTTTTCTTCAATCGAGCTCAAATCTCCACACTGTAGCTCTAGTCAGACAACTAAAAAAAAAAAACAACACAACACTAAGCGAAGTCCCACAATGATTGCTGACGTTAGTGGACTTGTCTAATTTCACCCAGCATTCTTAATGGTACTGTCGTATAAGCTTACATTCCTCAAAGAATATCAGGTACTTTTTTTTCGACTCTCTCGTTCGAAATCCCGGTTTTAAGACCCTTTTGTTACGTTATCCACCGCCTCGAATCTTTGAAGCTTCCCGTCGGCTTTATCCGCCCGACCCCCGGGGATAAAGTCACATGACTTGTGATACCGAGAATGGACGATTCGTCGGGGGAGAAAAATCAATAAAGCTCTTTAAAAAGTCGGAACTTAAAATACCGAAAGCAGCTTTTAGCGAAACAACTGTGAATGGAAGTTTTTTTTTTTCGGAACTTGAACATAAGAGAGAAGATGTATTTGGGTAACAGGGCGCTAATATTACAGTTGTTAGCGACTGTCGTCTGGCGAAAGTTTAAATAGTCAACAAACGGAGACTGAGAGGGAGGGAGGGGGTGGGGGGGGGTCAAAGTTATAGTTTAAAACATGGCCGTGCTTATTGCCAGTTAAATGATGTTATGGGTTTACAGAAAACTATGTGTGAGTA